GATATCTGATATTCAGAATGTATTTTCATACACTGGACCAAATTCACCCAAATTTGAATATTAGCAGGGTTGGGTGGGGGGGGGGGGTTGATTTTGTCCCTTGGGAGTTGTAGTTGCTGGGATTTATAAATAAATACATAAATATTCCAGAAGCATTCTCTCCTGACATTTCGCCTGCATCTATGGCAGGCATCCTCAGAGGTTGTGAGGTCTGTTGGAAACTAGGAAGTTTTTCCCATTTCCCATTTCCCTAGTTTCCAACAGACCTCACAACCTCTGAGGAAGCCTGCCAGAGGTGCAGGCGAAATGTCAGGAGAGAATGCTTCTGGAACATGGCCATACAGCCCGGAAAACACACAACAACCCAATATTATATAAACTTATCTTCATGCTGTGTGCATAAGGTGTATATGAAATATAAATAAAATTCATGTTTAGACCTAGATTTTCAAGATAATGCATTGGATACTCTAAATTCTGGGGGGAAAAACATCCAAAACACTTCTGGTACTATTCCTTTATGAACATCATTTGTAAATAGCATTTAGCATCTTCCTCTGTAGATCCGCGTGCCCAACTTCATCTTGGCCTCAAGTTCAGTTGCAATGCTGAGCATGGCGTCACACACCAGACATATACATTATAGAATCCTCATGAGCATCAATGGCCAAGCATTAACAACTGTCTTGAGGTATTGAATGGGTTGATTTATGTCTAGTAGGTTTTGCTAGACAGTTTTACTGTAGCCTGACATTTCATGCTAGAGAAGGACTGTCTCCTGGGATTGGAGGAGCTTTGCACATGCAGGCCTCATTGCTATAAGGATGAGCAATAGGTCTGGTACACAATGTGTTTCTCATTCTTTATGATTCTGGAGACCCTTTGTCCAGTGCAGAGGAAAGTCCAGGGAGACTTCATAATCCAGCTCTAAGGATTGGAAATGTTTGTCCTATAGGGTCCTGATTCTACTTCCACTTGCTTTGAGGGATTCTGGAATCCATAACATAAAGAATTGGTGGGTTGTTGTAGGGTTTTTCGGGCTATATGGCCACGTCCTAGAGGCATTCTCTCCTGACGTTTCACCTGCATCTATGGCAAGCATCCTCAGAGGTAGTGAGGTCAGTTGGAACTAGGAAAATGGGTTTATATATCTGTGGAATGACCAGGGTGGGACAAAGAACTCTTGTCTGTTGGAGCTAGGTGGGAATGTTTCAACTGACCACCTTGATTAGCATTTGATGGCCTGGCAGTTGTTTGGTGTGGCTTGTTAGTGCCTGGGGCAATCTTTTGTTGAGAGGTCATTCCACAGATATATAAACCCATTTTCCTAGTAGCATCTAGTAGCCAGTTTCATTAAATCACTACTAACCAAGAGGTCATAAGTTTGAAGTCAGCCCGTGTCGGAGTAAGCTCCCAACCATTAATAGTCCAGCTTGTTGTCAACCTATGCAGCCCGAAAGACAGTTGCATCTGTCAAGTACGCAATTAGATACCACTTTATGTGGGGAGGCTAATTTAACTAATTTACGACACCACAAAACCTTCCAACAGCATGCAGAAGAATGAGGAAGTATTCCATTAAGGGCTCGGTGTCACAAGTAGACAGTGAAACGGCAGCTCCCCCTGTGGTCGAAACTGAGAATGCCCTCATGAAGCTGGAAAAAAGCTGGAATGTTAAATTGCCTCTGTGTCTGTCTATATATGTTGCATGTCTAAATGGCATTGAATGTTTGCCATGTATATGTGCATTGTAATCCGCCCTGAGTCCCCTGAGGGGGTGAGAAGAGCAGAATATAAATGCTGTACATAAATAATAAATAAATATTCCAGGCCTACTTTTTTTGCTAACTTCTCAGACTGTTTGACTTTCAACAAAACAGCTGGATTCCCTTCCTCATTGGATGTAAAGCTATTGTTGTTGTTGTTGTTTGAAAAGCAACAAGATTAGTGCACTGCAAACAAGATCACTATGCTGGCTTTTGTATTGGATCACACGTCAGACACTTCTCAAGTGTCTAGGACTGTGTGATGTATCGGCAAATAACGAGTGCAGATCCCAATAGGGTGGTCTTTTGCAGCTGGCAGATGGTAATTTTGTCAGCGCCAATTGTGTTTAAGTGCAGACCAAGGTCTTTAGGCACTGTACCCAGTGTGCCGATCACCACTGGTGTTGTTGTTGTTGTTGCATTTATTTATACCCTGGTTTACCTCCCCAAAAGGGACTCAAAACACCTGAATTTTCTTATGATTTCCAGTGCCCTAAATGTTTGGACGTACAAATACAGTACAATATAATACAATTTAATTGTGTAGCAAGGCTTCCTGGACACGTGATTGCAGATTTGATGGGTACTGAGTTTTGCTAAATAAGAATCCAATTACATGCATTTGTCTTTTTCGGGGACCCTGGCCCGAACAATACTCTGCAATGCTGAATCCACCCCCAGCTGCAGACCCTGTTTTGCCTCTAATCCCTGTTATTGGAAACTTGCCGGAGACAGAAAGCTTTTGTTTAGCTTAATCCAGTTTCCAGAGGCGGGGGCTTGAATGGGGGCCTTCAGCCTTCTGGACGGTCTGCAGATTGTGAGTCCTTGGAAGCAAGATGCAGATGGCAGCAGATGCTTCAGAGATTTACAAAGCAGATCTGTTCAGAAACAGAGGTTTACAAAGCAGATCTGTCCAGAATCCAAATTGAGCCTACCTTAACTTGAAATGTTTGGGACTAGAAGTGTTTGGAGTTTGGGATTCATTGGGTCTTGGAATGCCTGTAATTTGGGGCACAAAAGAAAGTTTGTGTGTGTGTATTGCAACTTCAGAAAGCAAAAGTGTCACAATCGCAACCATCCCTGAAGACTATTTTGGAGTGTTTTGGAATTCTGTATAAAGAATGCTCAGTCTATAGGTTTTAAAACTAGGTCTTGTGGGTTTTAACAGGCTATAGGGCCATGTTCTAGAGGCATTTCTCCTGACGTTTCGCCTGCATCTATGGCAAGCATCCTCAGAGGTAGTGAGATCTGTTGGAATTAGGACAATGGGTTTATATATCTGTGGAATGGCTGGGGTGGGGCAAAGAGCTCTTCTCTGCTGGAGCTAGGTGTGAATGTTTCAACTGACCACCTTCATTAGCATTTGAAGGCCTGGCTGAGCCTGGGAAAATCTTTTGTTGAGAGGTGTTAAGATGTGCCTGGTTGTTTCCTCTCTGCTGTTTTGCTGTTGTAATTTTAGGGTTAGGGTTAGGGTTAGGGTTAGGGTTACAAAAATTACAACAGCAAAACAGCAGAGGGGAAAGCAACCAGGCATAGCTCAACAAAAGATTTTCCCAGGCTCAGCCAGGCCTTCAAATGCTAATGAAGGTGGTCAGTTGAAACATTCACACCTAGCTCCAGCAGAGAAGAGCTCTTTGCCCCACCCCAGCCATTCCACAGATATATAAACCCATTGTCCTAGTTCCAACAGACCTCACTACCTCTGAGGATGCTTGCCATAGATGCAGGCGAAACGTCAGGAGAAATGCCTCTAGAACATGGCCCTATAGCCCGAAAAAACCCACAAGAACCTAGTAATTCCAGCCATGAAAGGTTTTAAAACTGTTTTGTTTTTTTTTAAAAAAAAAAAAAACAGAAATAAAGGAAACATAATAAAAGAGCAAAACCAATTCAGAAAAGCATATCTATCTATCTATCTATCTATCTATCTATCTATCTATCTATCTATCTATCTGCCAACCTAGCAGTTTGAAACCATTCAAATGTGAGCAGATCAATAAGTTCCGCTTTGGCGCGAAGGTAACGGTGTTCCATGCAGTCATGCTGGCCACATGACCTTGGAGGGGTCTGCGGACAATGCTGGCTCTTCGACTTAGAAATGGAGATGAGCACCAATGCCCAGAGTCAGCCACAACTGGGCTTAATGTCAGGGGAAACCTTTACCTCTATATATATACAGCGTTCCCTCACTTATTGCGGGTGTTACATTCCAGGACCACCCGTGAAAAGTGAAAATCCGCAAAGTAGGGACGCTATATTTATTTTAATATTATCCATCCCCTGCCACGCGTTGCTGTGGCCCAGTCTGTGTATATGTGTTTTGTGTGTGTATATATGTGTATATGTGTATACATGTGGTTTTGCGCATGCGTTGTAATGTATTTTTTATTTTTTGGCCTTTTAAGTCTCTTCTGCTGTGTTTCTCAGTGTTTTTATGAGTGATGGTCGCTCATTGACCTTATAGGTGTATTGGGTCCAAATTTGGTGTCAATTCGTCCAGTGTTTTTTGAGTTATGTTAATCCCACAAACAAACATTACATTTTTATTTACATAGACTAGCCGTCCCCTGCCACGCGTTGCTGTGGCCCAGTCTGGTGATCTGAAACATAAAGTAATGAGAAAGTGTTGGTTTCTAATGTATTAATTTCTTTTTGCTTATAGGCAAACAGTATTTCTTGCTGTTTCTTTGTCAATGTTGATGTGGAGATTGTCTGGTTTGCCTGCTCTGGAACATGTAACAAATAATTGTCCTTCTTCAGGAGTTCCTTTCAAATCTATGATATTATATCTCTGTGTGTGTTTTCTGTGCAGTCTCATCTTACACCTGGGTCAATAGTTTTTCACATTGGTGGAAGTAGGTATCTAGTGCAACTTGGCCATGAAGCTTCACTTTGGTGCTGCCACACTTCTTGTTGCGCAACTGATCTAGAGACTCAGTAGATTTGCCACAGAACATTGCTGGTAGAAATGTATGCTCCACCACATTATAACTAACACCACACCCATCGACAGCTGGTGCTCTCAATGTTTAATTTGTTCATGTAGTTTTTAATCTCATCTTACAGTTTGTAAATGTTAATTTTGATTATGTCAGAACGGTGAGCCACCTTGGGTGCTTCGTTTGAAGGAAAAGAGGGCTCAGATATATTAGAAACAAGGACTTGCACATGAGAAGACCCAACCTGCTTTTCTTTGACCTTCTCATGTTTTTCGCTTTTGCCATTCCTTTGCAGTTCCTCACCACCTGGAGTTTTTGAGAAAGAATACGAGATATACCGGGATTACAGCAGCGATGGGCAACGCCTCCACTACAGGTGAGTTGCCCGTTTTCCATATCATTAAAGTGAGTTGTAAAGTGGTAATGTTTACAACCATATATAGACTGCCTTGAGTCCCCCTTGGGTTAGAGAAAAGAAGGGTATAAATAGGGTAAAATAAATAAATAGTAAAATGGAAGGCACAAGGCAAAGATGACAACCACATGGCAGGTGGATTGGCTCAGTCATGGAAGCCACAATTGCCCAACTGAACTGGTCAGTTGATGGCCAGGGATCGTGGCATTCTCCCATTCATAGGATCTCAAGTCATGACGAAAAGAACGTGGTAGCACAGTAGGCCACACTTCGTGACCAGCAGGCTTTCTCCGCCGTGCCTCAGGCCTGGCCCACACACCAGCCTCCCTTTCTGAGGCCGTTAGCCACCATGCAGAGCCTCTTGCTGTCCACCACCGTGTAAATAATGTAATGTAAATATTTTATATTAATATTTATTTAAAAACCGTGAAACAGTGAGTCCGTGAAAAGTGAACCACAAAGTAGTGAGCGATTAATGTACATTAATTTTGTTAAGAAGCCCATTCACCCAACAGGAGTTTTGGGAGTGATAGTCCAATCCAGTGTGGGAGGAGAGCATGAAAAACTTAGACATTTTTAGACATGCCCTTTGGGGGATTTTTAGAGACCTACTAGCTGTACCCGTCACGGCCAACCTTCCCTCTTCTCTCCCCCTTTCTCTTTTTCCTTCCTTCCCTCTCTTTCTCTCCTTCCTTCCTCCTCTTTCTCTTCCCTTCCTCCCCCCTTCCTTTCCCTTATTCTTTCTCCCCTTTCTTTTTTCTCTACCTATTCTTGGACTGTAACTCCCAGTAGTCCTCCTGATCTACCTACCTACCTACCTACCTACCTACCTACCTACCTACCTATCTCTTTCTTCCCCTTCCTTCCCTTCCTTCCTTCTCTACCTATTCTTGGACTGCAACTCCCAGCAGTCCTCCTGATCGACCTACCTACCTACCTATCTCTATCTAATCTATCTATCTGGAGATTGCTGGGAGTTGCTGTCCAGGAATAGGAAATTGGAAATATGCAGGGATTGGGATGCTCTCAAAGAAATCCAAGGAGAAGAAATCTTGCATCTTGAAAGCTGTGCATTTGGATCATCCTAAAGGGCCTGGTCTAGGGGATGCTGGGAGCTGTAATCCGGAAGAGAGTGTGGATATGCTATTGTGTGTTCTGTTTGCCAGGAGGAGTCATTTTTGCACATGCACTGTAGCGTTTTTTAGCGCTTTTTTGGCTTTTAAAGTTCCTTCCGCTGTGTTTTTCAGTGTTTTTATGAGTGATGGTCACTCGTTGGCCTGATAGGTGTCTTGTGTTCAAATTCGGTGTCAATCCGTCCAGTGGTTTTTGAGTTATGTTAATCCCACAAACGAACAGAACATTTATATATATACTAGCCGTCCCCTGCCACGCGTTGCTGTGGCCCAGTCTGGTGATCTGGAAAATAAAGTAATGAGAAAGTGTTGGTTTCTGATATATGTAATGCTTTATGAGTAAACAGTATTTCTTGCTGTTTCTTTGTCAGTGTTGATGTAGAGAGTGTCTGGTTTGCCTACTTTGGAACAGGTAACATATAATTGTCCTTTCAAATCTATGATACTATATCTGTGTGTGTGTGTGAATCATATATATCTTTCTATATTTATGGCTGGATGGCTCTTTGTTAGGAGGGCTTTGATTACGTTTTCTTGGCCTGGTGAAGGGAGTTGGACTGGATGGACTTAAGTATTTTCTGTTGGTCATGGGGGGTTCTGTGTGGGAAGTTTGCCCAATTTCTGTCGTTGGTGGGATTCAGAATGCTCTGTGATTGTTGGTGAACTATAAATCTCAGCAACTACAACTCCCAAATGTCAAGATTCTATTTTCCCCAAACTCCACCAGTGTTCACATCTGGGCATATTGAGTATTCATGCCAAGTTTGGTCCAGATCCATCATGGTTTGAGTCCACAGTGCTCTCTGGATGAAGGTGAACTACAACTCCCAAACTCAAGGTCAATGCCCACCAAACCCTTCCAGTATTTTCTGTTGGTCATGGGAGAACTGTGTGCCAAGTTTCGTTCAATTCCATCGTTGGTGGAGTTCAGAGTGCTCTTTGATTGTAGGTGAACTATACATCCGAGCAACTACAACTCCCAATTGACAAAATGAATTTTTATGAGTGAAGGACATACATTGGGTTGTTAGATGTCTTGTGTCCAAATTTGGTGTCAATTCGTTCAGTGGTTTTTGAGTTATGTTAATTCCACAAACGAACAGAGCATTTATATACATATAGATTTTTTTTTGTCGTGTCAGGAGCGACTTGAGAAACTGCAAGTCGCTTCTGGTGTGAGAGAATTGGCCGTCTGCAAGGACGATGCCCAGGGGACACCCGGATGATTTGATGTTTTTATCATCCTTGTGGGAGGCTTCTCTCATGTCCCCGCATGAAGAGCTGGAGCTGATAGAGGGAGCTCATCCGCCTCTCCCCGGATTCGAACCTGCGACCTGTCAGTCTTCAGTCCTGCCGGCACAGGGGTTTAACCCGCTGTGCCACCGGGGGCTCCTATATATAGATGGGGAGACGGTTTTATTAAGCAAGTATAGTTTCTGGAACTCTGAATCCGTGATGCATGGGATGTCTGGAAAAAACCCCTAATTTCCCCCTTAATGTCTTGGGAGAAACTGAGCAAAGCAAATGACAAGCAGGCAGCTACCTATAGAGCCAGGTGCTTGGTTCTCAGGAGTATCTCTGCCGATATCCCCATGCGGAAGGCCTCCCATGGACTCCGGCAATGATTATTCCAAGCTCGTTTCGGAGGTTATAAAACTTGCATTTCAAACAGAAGGCCGCCCGGCTGCCGAAATCGCCTCCGCACTATAATCTTGTCACTGGAATTGCACCCAGCTGTTTGCATGGGGGCCTGGGTGGAACAAACTGTCAATATTTGCTCTCCTTTCTCATTAATAGCTGTCTCCTGCCTTCGCAAAGGAAGCAGTCAGGTAGGAAGAGATGCAGGTTGTCAACGTCCCCGGCATTTAGCGTTGCCTGTCTTCCTCGCTCCAAAAAAGGGCTGGCCAAGGAATGAGAAGGAGACAATACTACAGAAGGGACGGGCACAGTGGACCCTGTATGTGGTCCTTGTGAGGTCTGCAAAGCCCCCACCAGCCCCACAAAGACCTCCAATAGCTTGTCTTTAGGGTAATGTTTGCCCCCTCCCCAAACCATATAGAACCCCCATAAACAGACATGGGCAAGCTTTGGCCGAAAGGCTGTTAGGAATTGTGGGAGTTGAAGTCCAAAACACCTGGAGGGCCAGAGGAGAATCTTGTAAAGAAAAGCCAAGTGAAGAGGAATTACCCAATGAGGACAGGCTTCTTCATATACCAGAGTAGTCACATTCCTAAAATGTAACTTAACATAACGCTAAACACATCTTTGTGCATTCCATAAAACTTGCAAGATGCAGCTGATGAATGGAGAGGAATATTGGGACTGGGACTATAGACAGGTTGTCCTTTCCTGGGACTATAGACAGGTTGTCCTTTCCATCTCATAGAATCCTAGAGTTGGAAGAGACCTCGTGGGCCATCCATTCTGCCAAGAAGCAGGAAAATCACATTCAAAGCTTCTCTGACAGTTGGCCAACCAGCATTAAAAGCCTCCAAAGAAGGAGGCTCCACCACACTCCGGGGCAGAGAGTTCCACTGCTGAACAGCTCTCACAGTGAGGAAGTTCTTCCTCATGTTCAGGTGGATTCTCCATTCTTGTAGTTTGAAGCCCTTGTTCCATTGCGTTGTAGTCTCCAGGGCAGCAGAAAACAAGCTTGCTCCCTCCTCTCTATGACTTCCCCTCCCATCTTGATCCCTGGCCCTCCTCATGTCTCCTGTCAGTCTTCTCTTCTGCAGGGTGAACATGCCCAGCTCTTTAAGTTGCTCCTCATAGGGCTTGTTCTCCAGACCCTTGCTCCTTTGAGTCGCCCTCCTCTGGACAATTTCCAGCTTAAAGTCAACATCTCCCTTCAGTTGTGGTGCCCAGAATTGGACACAGTGTGATTCCAGGTGTGGTTTGACCAAGGCAGAATAGAGGAGGAGCATGACTTTCCTGGATCTAGACACTAGACTCCTTTCAATTGATTCCAAAATCCCCTTGGCTTTTGTTTACTGCAGCATGACATTGTTGGTTCATGGTAACCTTCCTGTCCACGAGAATGCCAAGATCTTTGTCACATGTATTGCTGTCAATCCAGGCATCCCTTATTCTGTATTTTTGCATTTCGTTTTTTCTGCCTAAGTGGAGTATCTTGCATTTGTCCCTGTTGAATTTCATTGTGTTAGTTTTGGCCAATCACCTCTCTAATCTGTTAAGATTGTTTTGAATTCTGCTCCTGTCTTCTGGAGTATTGTCTCTCCCTCCCAATTTGGTCCCGTCTACAAACTTGATGCTCATGCCTTCAAACCCTTCATCTAAGAAGTAAAAATAATAATAATAATAATAATAATAATAATAATAATAATAATAATAATTCATTTATTCCTCGCCACCATCTCCCCAAGGTGTCTCGGAGCGGCTTACAGGAGGCCAAGCCCAACAACACATCAATAAAAACAAGCAATAAACAAATAAAACAATACAATTAATATAACTCAACATATAGACAATAACACAGAGAGATTTATGAAGATCCTGAACAGGACCGGGCCCAGGATGGAAACCTGCTGATGGCACTCCACTCATTCCTTCTTTCCAGGATGAAGAGGAAGCATTGGGGGGAATCACCCTCTGGGTTTGTTCACTTAACCAATTACAGATCCACCTCACCGTAGTTTTGCCTCGCCCACATTAGACTAGCTTGTTTGCCAGAAGGTCATGGGGGACCTTATTGTGGGGCTATCTCATCCCACTTTGTTAAAGAACCTGGATCCCACTTCAAGAAGACTGAAAGCCCCGCTTTTCCCAAGAAAGTCACGTATATATAAATACAGTTATTCTGTTGTTATG